ATACTTGAGTGTCTTTGAGTGAAGATTTAAGGTGATAGGACATATAAATAGCTGCAACTTGAATCTTTACTGAAGCTCAGTATTTGACACAGAGTTCACTCACATGTGCTGCACCAGTGTACAATAGAAATGATTTGATTTGAGAGTTCAAACGCACTGCTGTAATAACTAATAATGATTAGTATAATAACTATAATATTGGCCATCTCATATTTACACTGACTTTAGTCTCATGAACAACATGAGCTAATTGTTATTTACTAGCTAATCTTTGTTCAGTACAGAAATGAAGCCCAACAATCATGTTTTACAGTCCTGTGGTCTCAGCCTCAGATACTTATTAAATCACACAAAGCTCATGTAGAAACAAACGAACAAAATGTGTTCTCCTTCTTTTCTGTCAACCACACGTTTCCCGCTATCATGGTTGCTAGGCAACCTGGGCAGCGCGACGGAGGCTAGACCGTCCCGCTTCACAAGCCTCACACTTCCGGCCTTAGCGGTCTTTGAGTACGCGGCCCTTGAGGACCGTTGAGGCTGCATACTTTAAGGCTGCAGACCCTGAATTGGGAAACAGCCGAAGTCTCCTTAAATTCAGGGAAATGTAGGACGCATTTGACGGACGCATTTCGAGCAACCTTCGTCGCGTCGCTGTGACGTAATCGGCCTTAAAATGCGGCCTTTAAGGCTGCAGACCCTGAACTGGGATACAGCCAAAGTACCGTAGCACGAGTGGAAGAGCTCAGAGCAGAAATGTGCTCGTATTAATCAGAGATTCACAGCTTGATAGGTAGGGTGTTTTGTCAGAACACCGGAAGTCGTATTAAACAGCGGTGTGAGCGCCGTATCGCAGTTAACTCTGTTAACGCTGTTTTGTATAAGCTGCTTTTGCGATGAACTAAAGAAGAGAAAGCAGCGCACTCTAACCCTACGTGCTGCCAGAGCAACTGCGCAGATACGGTGCAGGCTACACTGCGCAAACCGGACCGCCGTAAAAACGTTGTTGTGCTTCCGTCGCGCTTTAGCTGTACGTGAGAACAGAAGCACCTACCTCTGCTCTGCTGATCGCGGACATTGCAGCTGTCTGTGGACTCGGCGCAGACCTGACCTTCGCCTGCTTTCACTTTCAGCCTTTGTTCATCACGTGATCAAACTGGAAACAACTTTTTTTAACCTTGAATTTTTTTTTTCAAAACTTTATTTGAAATTGTAACGTGAACAGTCAGTCATTCCAGTTCAGTTTGTACAGTAGAGATACAGGACAAATCAGCGCAACAATAAGCAGTACACTGAAAATAAGAAGGGTAAATAAATAAATAAAGGGAAAAAAGAGGGACGTGACAGACTTCATAATAGCTTTGTACTTGAAAATTGTATCTGTGACAGCTCATTTGTTGAAAATTTCGGAATGGATTTCAATCAATGATAAACCTTTTTTATTTGAAGTTAATTTAAGAGAGTTTAAGTAATATTCCATTTCAATCAAAAACAAATGGGTTGAGTTTTGAAATTTACATTTATGTGTGTGGACTTTCCCTAGTAAGATATAAAGATTGACAATGGTACACTAACTTTTTTCCTTTGGTTTCAAAATAAGTGATAATGTCCTTCCCTTCAATTTCGACTTTGTATGTTGTTTTGTACAGTATAGAATTTCAAGTTCTCTCCAAAATGTAGCACTATATGAACAGCCATTAAACAAATGAGTTACACTTTCAGTTTTAGTTTTACAAAAGGTACATTTTCTATCAGTGTCACAGAATCTTGAAATGTTGTGTATATGTTATGTTTTAAAATGTTATGTAGTATTTTCCTGTTGTAAATGTAATTCTCTTATTTTGTTTGTGATACAAAATCTAAAAGGAATAAGCCTTGCCTTATCCCAGTTGATATTTTCAAAAATAGCATTCCAAAAAAACTTCCTTCTTGGAGTTATTTTCTTCGCATTATACAAACATTCTCTAATATGTTTATTGGTGCATTTCTTGCTTAAGAGATCAATACCATTTATATAAAGAGTGTTAACGGATGCATGTGGTGTGTTCTATTTTTTGTAGCCTTTCATTAAATCAATCAGTCCACTAGGAACGGACTTTATTACTGAACTAAAATCTTTAAATTTGATAGGGAATGTTTTTTCAGTAATAAAGTCATTATAACTAAGTAGTTGGCCTTCAGCGTCAAATAAGTCTTTTAAATAGATTAGTTTTTTATCAATCCAAGTCTGCAAATAAAGTGATTTGTTCCTTTTAGTGATACATTCATTATTCCAGATAATAGATCTATGTGGAGAAAAGTTATGTGAACAACATCGTTTCCAAGCTGTTTTTAACTGGTAACTTTGATATACTGTAATTACAAGACAATAAGAACTGTAGACCTCCAACATTTCTAAAAATGTTATGTGGAATGAAATGCCATAATGATCCAGGAGATTTTAAGCATTCTTTTAGCCATTTCACCTTAAATGTATAGTTCAGGTCCATGAAGTCCAGAAGGCCAAAACCACCTTTATTTTTAGTTCCACAAAGCAATGATTTTTCAGATGATGGTGCTTATTCTTCCATACAAAGTTAACAAAATATTTTTACACATGGAATCATACACATTAACGGAAAGGGCTGGATACACTAATCTGGAAACACCTCCAGTCAAAAGGATTCTACCAAAAATTGATAGGTCTCTTTGGAGCCATAAGTTCAACATAGTTTTAGTTTTTTCCATCCTGGGAGAGAAATTGAGTTGTTGACGCTCCGTGTCATTCTTACAGACATGAATACCAAGGTATCTAACACAGTTTTTGACAGGAATATCGTATAAAGATTTGACATTTGATTGGTACAAAAATAAAATTTCACATTTAGACTTATTTTTAATCCAGAAGCAGTTGAGAATTTGTCTATTAATGAAATAGCCTTTTCAATCTGATCTTTGTTTTTTAAGAATAAAACGGTGTCATCTGCTAGTTGAGTCAGTCTGATTTCTTTACCCATAACAGATAAACCTTTAATTACTGGGCTATTCAAAATGTGTAATGAAAGTAGTTCAGCCACAATCAAAAATAAAAAGGGCGAAATTGGGCAACCCTGGCGAACAGATCTCATGACTGGAAATCTTAGTACTATTTGGATATAGTATAACACAACTGTCAATATATTTATAAAACATTTTGATAGTTGACACAAAGTGTGGACCAAAACCAAAAGTTTTCAGTGCTTTAAATAAGCAATAATGTTCTACCGTATCGAAAGCTTTATAAAAATCAAGAAACACAATAAGGGAACCATTATTTATATTGTCAGGGTAGTGTAATAGGTCAAAAATAAGCCTTATGTTTGAACTGATATGGCGGTTGGTCATAAATCCGGTTTGCGTTTCAGCTATGATCTCATCAAGATTTTTTTTTTTAATCTTTTGGCATAGACCAATGAGATGATCTTAAAATCTATGTTCAAAAGTGTGATACGCCTCCAATTTTCTAAGAAGATCTTTATCAGGTTTAGGAATTAAAGTTATAATGCCCTGTTTCATGCTTGTGGACATTTCTTTTCTATCACGGCATTCCTTAAATAATTCTAATAAAGGATCAACAATGATATCTGAGAAATGTAAATAAAATTCCACTGATAAACCATCTTTGCCTGGAGATTTGCCCTTTTTCATTGATCGAATTGCCTCTGAAATTTCTGATTTTGTTATGGGACGTTCACAATTAGTTTTAAAGTTTTCTGAGATTGTTGGTGCAAAATTTTCAACTGACTCGATAAATCTATCACAGTCATTGATATTACAATTTGATTTGTATATATCATTGTAGAATGAACCAACATGTTTTGAGATATCTAAATGATTAGTGGTTATGTTATTATCAATCTTAAGAGCAGATATATTGTTTCTTCTTTGGTTTCGTTTCTCAAGAGCACAAAAGTAACAAGAATTTCTTTCACCTTGTTCTAGAACATGTTAATGTGATTAGACAATGAAATTATCTATAAATAGGAAAAAAAACAAATCCTAAAAAAACAGTAATATTCCAGCAGCTGAGGCGCCAAAATACTACCGTAAAATAACAGAAAATAACTTTCTCATGAAAATACAGTTAGTTTCAGTAATGAAAATAGAGTTTGTTGCGCTAATTTTACATGGGATTAGACCTTTTCAAAGTGCGTTTAGACATCAAATT